TACTTTTGTAATGAAATAAATGGCCTATCAAGGTTCTTCTCGAAGGTTCAGGATTTCAAATGGTATCAAAATTGGTTAAGAAATAAATCTACTAATCCTCCGTAATCCGTATCAATTCAAATAGCTCAATTATTTAATTAATTCTGCCAAACAAAGTAGTCAAAATGGATGACAGTCTCTTTAAATAATGGCAAAGCCGAACAAATATAACAGAAATTATACCCTTTAACATTGAAGTAGAATAACAGAAATTATGCATAATTGTAATTATTTTACCATAATAATAAACATAAACAACTATCGGATTCATGAATTGGTCTAAAGATCCTAAACTAGTAACAATAATTACATTTCATATCAGAGGCGGAGGGAGGGGGCAGGAAAAGAGGAGAAAAATACCCGTTTTTGCAGGGGAATATCAATGGCGAATGGAAGCTTTGGTAAGGTTTGGTAACTTTGTTTTCTCCCCTTTTTGCAGTGTGTCATCAGTAATGTGTATTAGTGTGTGTGGCCAGGCAGTTGCATACATTTGTAATTGTGGGCCCAGTGTGTTATTTTTAAAAGAAGGCCCAACTAATGAAAGTGGCTTGCTTGTTATGCACGAATTGGATTAAGAAATTACAAAATTCTAAGAAATTATACTTTAAATTCTAAAAAAAATATAATTTAATAAAATTTATATAAGAGAATTTATAATTGAATAAAATATTTTTTTGATTAAAAAAAGTTCGGTTCGATTTGATTTTTTGCGGTTTTTTGAAAATTGAAACCTAAACCAAACCATTTTAAAGCGGTTTGGTTCGGTTTGAGGAAAATAAAACCCCGAGTCCACATGGACCCAAACCAACGACTTCGGTTCGATTTGCGATTTCGCAATTTTTTTGTGCAGCCCTACTTTAAGGTATATATGTAGCGACCACACTTTTTACCTTTACCAGCCACCACCATTGAATCTTTTAGCAACCAACTAGTGGTCACTGTAAGTATATGTGCAGCGACCACACTTTATAGCGCTTCTCTGATGGTCTATTACCGACTAGTCAGCGACCACAGTTATTTGGTCACTAGAGTCCTTTAGCAACCAAAAAATGACTTTTAGGTACCAACTTTTTTGGTCATTGGACACAAATTTTTTTTGTAGTGACAACTTGGCCTCGTCTAAGCTTACCTAAATTCGTAAAGCTTGAAATTGACATCTACACCTAATCATGATTTACGTTCTTTAGAACACTTCTAAAGATTGAGGCATAAGCAAAGCTAGTATTATCAATTAAATGTAAATTCAACTCCAAATCAATTCAGCATGGTTATTCGATCCTCACATGAATGAATAATGGCCTTTTGACTCTCAAACAAAATTTCCATTTACATAACTAGTTAAAATAAAGATGGTATCATTACACACGAGCAATAACAAGTAGTTGTAACTCAAGTAGGCAAATTATGATAAGCATAGCATGTTTTAGGGGTGGGCATTTTTTCTCGGAACTGGTGGAATCGGACTGAACCAAAAGAACATATTGATTTAGTTTCGATTCCTCTACTAAATGGGTAGATTTTGAGACAATTTATTGAGAATTGATTGGTTCTGGTCTGGTTCTCGATACTGCCTTAAGGACCAAAAGTGAATTCGGTTCTACTGAATTTCTCTTGTTATTTAAACCAAGATACAGTAATTCTTTGAACACTAGACCACAAAATTATCTCACATTAAAATTTCATTTTCTACATGTTTCTTCTTCTTTGCTTTAATGGGTAATCAGAATTCAAATCTAAATAAATTTATAAATATTTTACAACTTTATAGTTTTAATACAACTCAATAGAAAAAATATATTTTTGGTTCAATATTCATAAGAATCCACCTTTTTTTGTTGTTGTTGTTTTCAAAGTGACTGGCTATCAAAAATGAAGATCCTTGGGGATTACTAAAGATAATTAGTTTATTGTTATAAAATTTTCTTAAAAACTATTTTTCAGTCAAGATTTTACCATTTATGCTATGTTTAATAATTTGTTTCATCTTTATGAGCTAATCTTGAGTTTTGGATTGAATTTTTGTTTGTTGCATTGTCCAATTGAATTTTTATTTTATTTTTTTTTGTTCTTAGATTAAAAGTATAACAAGTGATATCATACTTTATTTTTGTCTTTTTCAATTGACAAGTATTTTGTGACTTTATTTTTATAAGTTTTCAATATAAAGAATCAGATCGAATCGAAATTGATTGGTTCAGTTCCGATTCAATTCTATTGTTGGATATGAAACCAATGATCCATTTATGAGATTTCCATTGGTATTCAGTTCGTTTCGATTCCATTCAAAATCGAACCGAACCAGACCACGCTCACTTCTAGCATGTTTGAGAAGTATTTAGAGATGGTTTAAATTATAATTAATAAAGTGAAAAGAGTGATGTATAAGTAAATAATATTTGTTAATTTTTCAAAATATATGAATAAAAAATGACTTAACTGCTTGTAAATAATTTATAAACATGAGACAAACATAGGTGTAAATTTGGATTTCAATTTTTATATAATGATTCAAAATACATGATTGCTTCCATAATCAATTGGTATCAAATAAAATTACCAGTTGATACATATATTAGTTGTTCAAAGACTAGACAAGTGCTTCAAGATTGTTATAATTTGACAATTTTTTTCAAAGCGTCATGCACCTCATCACTCACGAATTATGATATACTTGATTTTGCGATTTATTTCTCAATATATAATGATATTCGGTCACTCCAATGTTGAGTGATATGATCTTTTTAATTACTTTAGTGCTTGACTAAAGACATTATGATCCTCTAAACAGAACCTTTTTAAGAAGTTAAATCTAAACAAAAGTTCACTTGTGTTGCATACAACGCAAGAATTAATTAATTCTTCGTCAAAGCTTAAAAATCTAAGTCTGAACACAACTTTGAAATTAGTTAGAACATCTTATCAATAGAACACAAATGTTTGGCAAAGCATAAAATCTAATTCTTTATCATTCTCGTATTCATGCGATTCAACAAAATCTCATTTTAAGTATTGAAATCTAAATAAATTTGAAGAATAATTAAAACGTTTCATTGTATCTAGTCACGAACTTGTCACGTGATCAATATCCATTTCAAACTCCTAATTATAAGTAATTTCTTCATATAAGAAATCGTAGATGCATAGTAACTTTTTAGGCAAGTGGTCTACTAGCTAGGGTTTCCCAATCTTTTATGAGTGTGACACTCATATCTCCAACTATGAATTTTTTGAACTCATTTTAGCAGCAAACTAAAAAACATTTATTTGCACGTTAAAATGGCAAGTGATTGTTCATTGAACCTATTCCTGTGTTCATTGAGTCCCTAGATTTAAATAATTCTCTTGTTCAATCATGTCCTGTACTGGTAGTCTTGTATATAAGATTTTGGGCTTGATGGATTATCTAAAATGTTATGTGAAATCACTATTTTTAAACATGCACAGTGTTCATGTAGTAAACTTGAAGAGGAAAAATGATTAACAACCTATTCTGATAAACTGTTGCGCCTTTTTTGTTAGTTTCCTTAAAAAATTTATTAGTATAGGATATCTGAAACTATTTCGACTCTAATCTGCTTATAATTTTGACATAAGCATTGATTACCCTCCTATCACAACTTCAAATTTACATCTTGGTAATTGATTAAGCCTTTTCTGTCTTCTTCAGGGCATGCTATGGTATTTCAAGATATATTATACTGTAAGGCTAAGGGTTGTGAGGTATGGTCAAGGAAAAAGGTTGTTCACCTTTATCATTTCACTTTCAGTTTGAACGTAACGGGAACAAGTTATTATCATGGAAGTTGAGGGCTCAGCGTGCTATCCATGAAGTTCAAGAAGGCTATATGGTTTCTTCTGGCGAGCCGGTGAAAGAATACATCGGCAGGCATGTTCTCATCAGACAGGTGCAAAAATATTACCCTTTTTTTTTTTTAAGCTTTGTGTTCATTTTTCCCTTAAGTTGAATCCTGATACTAATTGAGCAATTTGTCCAATTGATACCAAGATTTTGACTTCAATCTCTCTTAAAGAAAATGTCTTGTGTTTGAATTATGGGGACACACTAGAAATCCATGATAGGGTAAGAAGAGGTTAAACTCTCCCAAAGGGACAATACATAATTTAATGAACTTAGCTCTGCCAAAGAGGTTGGATTGTTACTAAAAACGTGCACTTACCAAACTTGTTATTTATGTTGATAAAATGTAGGGAAATCTGAATACGTTAATGAACTCCAAGGCACGAAAAAACGTTATCTTTTAAGATATATTTCTCCTCTATTCAACAAAGTCACAATTGGGGTATGATAGAAAATCTCTCTCAGGATACAAAGGAGACGTTTGATTCAAATTGTGACTATTTGATCAAATCAAGAAGACATTCGAAAATAACTGATTGATGCCAAGAGAAAGAAGGAAGAATAAATTGTTTTTTAATGTGTTTGCAAATGAGAA